CTATCATGTTCTCTGTGCCGTTTGAGGGAACATTGTTTACGGTAAATGGATCTCTTAAAGGTAAAAACGGAGGAGAAGGCCTTGATGACGTGAGCCAATTTCGGATCTAAGCTCTGACGGCGGGAGCCAATTCCGGATCTAAGATGGAAGATTGAAGAAATTCAGAGGATAAGGTTAGGGGAGAATATAGTTTTAGGGAAGGAGGTTTTTTTTTCGGAGAATCGGGGGGGAGCTAGTTTTCAAGCTTTTATAAGGTTATCAGTTCGGTTTTCATTGGAGGGTTTTGAAGATGAAGGGAATTAGAGAGAGGAGCTTCATGCTTCGGGTCGGGGAAGGAAAGACATAGAATTTGGATTTTTCTTCTTCGTAGAGTTTTGGGAAGACTGAGGCAATCGCTGCTGAAGTCAGTGTTGTAATGGTGAATCGGGATTTTTAAATGAAGTGGGTTTGAATACTCTTGACTGTTTTGTAAAATCGAGTTACGTCTGTGATTGAAGGATTAAAAGGGTGTCTATAGGATTGAGTATGCGGAGTGAATGAAATTTATTGGGTTAATCTAACAGGACAGTCAGTAGATACAAGATCGTAAGTACAAAGGGGTATTGAAGATTAACAGTTTGGGTTGTTCGGGGTTCTTTGTAACGTCTAAAGACCTACCGGTTGGGAAATAAAAAAACTTCGACAAGCAGTCAAAGAGCATCCGTATAGATTTACGGTACATTGTTGCAGTCGTTTATATTCCAACAGTCAAAAACTGATAGACTGCTTGACTATCGGCGAATCTCCATACTACCTTCTACAGCCAGACGCCCGGCGCGTTCTCGAGCAAGAAAGCACGTAATACGACAACGTAGCCATATAGCTTCTAAGTAGATATTATATATAGAGGCAAAAATGAAACCTTCTTCATTCTTGTCAACTTCTTTTTTGCTCCACTTTATATTTAAGAATTTTTAATTTTTTTTTCTTTTAGTAATAGCCATTCTAATTTTCTTTTAATATACATGTTTTCTTACTTCTATTTTTTCATACTTCTTTGATAAAAGTCTCACCTAGTTATTTGCTTTCATTGGATTCTTATCCTTGACACAATCATCCTTTGTTTTTTGAGATGTAATCTATAAAACTAATCTTCTAAATATAGCACAAATGATCATAATAGTTGAGTAATATTTAATATTATGATGTTTAATATTATTATAATTTTTAGTAATCCAATCATTTTATATTTATTATGATTAAAAAAATGTAATCTTCAAATAGATAATTAAGACTATTTTTAATTAAATAGAAAGTCATAAATCTAGTACAACAAAATCTTATTTATAGATATAAGTCCTTTCATGTATACAACAAAAGAAGAATTATCATTTTTTATTTATGCCACACTCATTTCTAATAATAAAAAGATTTTAAATGGAATTTGAAGTAAAAGTTAGGATTATTAAGAAGTATTTGAGAGAAAAAATATAAATATTCTTCCAAAATAGTGTTCTTATGATTGCTCAATTAATCTTCAAGAAAGAGCTCAACTACCATATTGATCAATCTATAGCTTATCATAAAATGAATTGACTCCACTCCATGAATATATTGATGAGAATTTAGCCAAAATCTTTATGCACTATCAAAATCTCTAGTATGAGCTTCTATCTTATTTGTAAAGAAAAAAGATTAATGACTTTGGATATATGTGGATTATCAAGGACTCTACAAGATTTTTATCTAGAATAGGTACCATCTACTTTTAATTTAAGGCTTCTTAAATCAAGCAAAAATTTATATCAAAATCCAAGTGGTCTATAAATAGATATATTCTAATAAAGACTAAATTCTATAAAAATATTTGAATCTAGAATTTTTTCACAAATTGCATGATATTAAAAAAATGATTTTTAAAATTTCTAATTCTAAAAATTAAATTTTAATGTATAATATTTTAATATGTTAATATATTAAAAAGAAGTGATTTAGTCCTAAATATAACAAGCTTGATGACAATCCAAAAATTGATAGGAAACAGATTTAGGAGTTCAAAGTTGATACATAACTCAATAAATATTGATATTAGAAGTAATTTTCTTCTTCGACATGTTAACTAATAATTCTGTGTATCATATAAGTCAAATGAACATATTATCTTTGTATAAAAGGTTGTTAAATCAAGTATCTTTCAAATTAAATGAAAGATGTCTTATCTAAAAGAAAGTACTTTATTTTTTTGCCACTAAACTAGTAGTAGAGCTATTTCTTTCAAATAACACACAACCAAGTTTGGTCAAGTGCATCATGAAATATTCACTAATAATCTAGGAATATGGTAGAAAGTCAAAGATTGATGTGCTAATAAGTCTACAGAAGAAATTAATACCACAAGCTCTTTTACTTGTTGATTTTGTTTTTAAAATCACTATAAAAATTTTCAAAAAACCTTCTACATGATTCACATCAAAAGTTAATAATAACTTATGATATGGTATATTAATTCCTTCTAGAATATTAACTTATGATGTGATATTTTAATTACTTTTAAAATATTAAATTTATTAAATTTTGCATTTGTAATACATAATAAGACAAATAAACTATTTTCTTCTACATCTTAATATTCTAGAAAGAATTAAAATACCACATCAAAACAAAAATCAACCTCAATTTATATAATTCAATTTAGTCATTGGATTTTGAATTGGGTTTTGGAAGGGCTTTATCATTTTGAAGAATTCTTTTGTAAAGTATTAGAAAATAGATGTAGAAGATGTCCAAAATAGAACTACAAAATGATAGAATGCAATAAGTGAAGATTTCTTCTTCCATAGTGTGCAGATCTTTAAAGGGATTTTGAATGCAATGAAGACCATTTGAGTGGAGAATTGTAGTTTGATGAAATTCTAGGTCAATGTCAATTAAAGAGAATTGAAGATCCCTCCATACAAAATAATTCTACTCACTATGAAACTTACACATACAATGACAAACAAAACCGAGTACAAAATGTGAACACTCATAGTTCATTGATCCTTCCAACTGACACATAAGTCAATTGATAGAATTACTTTTTTATTCTGTGTATTCATCCAATCCTCTATATGGATGAAAAATCTCATTATCATTTGAGGTAGGGTTTATGAAAAAAGTGTTGTAGAAGCACACAGACGTGCATACTCAATTTTGGTTGCTTCTTCTTGCTGAATTTCGAAATTTCAATGTACATTCCTTGTTGCAAGATTTGAGGGCATTTTTTGTTTGTTGTGTTGCTCTTGTTGTGTACTATCTATAGTGAAAGTTGATTTGTCAATTGTATCTCTATGCCTCGGTTGTGTGAATCATTGAAGCACCAAGCATTGGTGCAACTTAGGAGTGGTGTTTCTACAAGAAAAGTTGCAGACTCACTTAGAATGAGTCAGTCTTGAGTAGCTCATCTAAGGAGGGAGATTAGTGGTGAAATAGAAAAGCAAAGAGGAGGACGTCCAAAGGTTTTAGGAGAGCAAGAGAAGCGACTTGGTGTGCACCTTGTCACTGCTGGTTGTCTCAAAACGGCAAGTGCAGCTACAAAACAACTTCGAGAAAAAACAGGTAAACACTTCTCAGACATCACCTTGAGGCGTGGTTTGAGAGAAGCTGGTTTGGGTGCTTGTGTGCAACAAAAGAAGCCTCTACTTGCCAAAAGATATGTTCTTGCAAGGTTGAGTTTTGCTCATAAATACAAAAATTGGACCATTGATGATTGGAGACGGGTTATTTTCAGTGATGAGACAAAGATTAACCTAATCAACTCAGATGGTAGGTCTTGGTGTTGATTGAGAGAAGGAGAACGACCTGGACCTAAACATGTTAGTCAAACTGTCAAACATGGTGGTGGTTCAATTATGATTTGGAGTTGTATGACTGCTTTTGGGCCGGGTGCTTGGTATCAAATTGAAGGTAGAATGGAGCAACACTTGTACAAAAAAATTTTAGAAACCTACTTGCAAAGTACCACACAGAATTACAACTTAGATCCTACTAAGGTGGTTTTTCAACATGATAATAATCCCAAACATATGGCAAAAAGTATTCAGTTTTGGCTCTCTTCACAGCCATTTCAGCTCCTTCGATGGCCAGCTCAATCTCCAGATTTGAATCCAATGGAACATTTTTGGGCCCTTCTCAAACAGCGTTTAAGCCAAGTCACTCCAAGGCCAAGAGGTATTCAAGAATTGTGGGAGAATGTTTGTAGTATTTACCCTAGTTTTGATGCAAAAGATTGTGAGAAACTATACAAAAGTATGCCAAGAAGGATTTCAGCTGTTTTGGAAGCAAAAGGTTATTGGACTAAATATTGAAGTTTGAAGATTTTCTTTGAACAATATTGAGTACAAGACATAGTTGTTGATTTGACTTTGTAGAAGGATGTTTAGTTATCAATTTGATGTGCAACTTTGTACATGTGTACAAGACTGTGTGTATTATTCCATGTAACTTTCAGATTTATAAAGCAATCATTGAAATTTCTGTAATTGCTCTTGAAAGTTGGCACTTCAGATTTTGTACTCGGTTTTGTTTGTCACTATGTATCCAAACCTTATGAATTTTATTCCAAGTTTTAGACCCCATTCTCCATTTGAGATGAGTGACCAGAGCTGGTCTGGTACCCAATATATTGAGAAGGTTCTTCATGGAGTTTCTCAGCGACTTTGGTGTGTACAATATTGCACAGGAAAGAGAAGGTAGGTCAAAAGAAGGACGCTCTAGCACAGCCTGGACACGTAGGAGTATGCATTGACAATATATAATTTGCGATAACTTTTCCTTAAAGTCAGTCAAACCTTCACTGATCTTGGGAAATACTCCACCTGGGAGGTAACGTTTCAGAAGAAGCAATAACAGCAACTCCAGGGATGCGTGCTAAACCAAAAACGATGTGAATGCACATAAACAAAAGCAGATCCAAATTCGAACCTAAAGGATGACCCAATCGGGTGGCAGTTTCAAGAGCTGCGCTCCTTTTCAAAGATCCGTGATCAAGAGCTCGTAGGGCTCCGACAGCTTCTGAACGCTGAAGCTCTCGGAACGACAACCGCTGCCTTTACTGTGAATGCAAATTATCCATTTCGATGCTGGTTGGAAGATAAAAAAAGAAAAAGAAAAAAGAACTAGGACCAAAAAACAGAAAACTATCCTGGAACCACCTCCAAAACGAAGATAAATTAATCGTCGAAAATGGAAGTTCGGGATGCAGTGCCCAAGTCAACTACAACCAAGAAGCTGATGGCATGAATAAGGCAAACAGAACTCATTCACGAGATAACCACAAGCACAGACTGGCACCCTAACTGTTCTTCAATTGGCCCTACGGCTATGAGACCTTGTGAAAACAAGAGAAGAAAATACCAACTATGCCCTATAGCTCCTATTGCTTGAACTGTTAAGCTCAATGAAACTGCGTAAAACGTCAAAACTACCACCGGTCTCGGCGCTCTGGACGCTCTTCCACAAGTCGGCCACCACCAAGGGGTCTACCTCCTGAGCGACCTGGATGAGCATATGCACCAGCCCGGGGAGGGTCATAAACATCCTTGCGGGCAGCTAGGGCATCATGCGTGCGTCGAACTGGAGGTTCATAAGCCCGCGGTGGAGGAGCTTCAGAATCAACCTGGCGACCTCGCGGTGGTTGATAGCGTTTAGAGGGAGGACTGGAAGCCTCCCTTTCAACCTGCATATCTGTTTCGCGGGAAGTAGCCGATCCTTGCACATCAAAAAGAGGCCGGCGTTCCTCCATTGAAGGACGTACGTCTCGGCGATCATCCATGTTAGGACGCCTCATATCGTCACCACCCTCCAACCTCTTTCGAAGTGAAGGGAGTACAAACTTTCCAGGCTTTTCTTCAAGCCTGGCTCGCAAAGCCTCTTCTCTCTCACGCTTCTCCCTCTCTTCGGCAGCAGCCTCTCTCTCCCGTTGCTTTTGAGCAATTTCCTCCAACTTAGCGAGACGCTCAGCTTCTTCTCTGCGTTTGCGCTCTATTTCTGCAAAGAAGAAAATTGTTGCGTCAAATTGAATAATACACAATTATTGTCAAATGAAAAAAAGTCAGTCAAAACTAAAATATTAAAGGTGACCAAGTATTACTGACATTTCCGAACACCGGAACAAAGGAAAGCACACACCTTCTCTCTTTCTAGCTTCTTCTTCTTCCTGAATCCTAAGAAGTCGCTGCTCCTCTTGTCTCCTAAAGAATTCCTTCTTGCGTCTGATCTCACGTTCTTGAGATCTAATAGCACGCTCCTCCGCTAGTCTCTCTTCCCGCAAGCGCTGCAACCTCTCAAACTCTCCTTGACGACGGGCGACAACTTGTCGTTGGAAAACATCCTAGAGTACCACAAAAATTCAAATAGTCAGATAGACTCAAAGCAAGCCTAACAATCACTAACAGAGCTAAAATGAAATGTATCAGAGTAGAATACCTTGTCGTCTGCCATCCGCAACAACCGATGCTTCTCAACCACGTCTGTCTCGTGCTGATTCTTGCTCTGCTCAATGGCTTGCTGAAAGAACATTAACACAGAAGAGTTAGAGATGTGCAGGTCAGACTTAAAACCATGCAAAATATTAATCTGGTGGCCAAACTTCCAGTTCAGATGAACACACCTCCTGTTGTTGCTTGTAAAACCGCTCATCATCCTGAAGCCGGTTGCGGTAAGCCTCCTCAATCAATGGTCTCTCCTCCTCTCGCTTTGCACGTTCCAAATAATCCATCGTCTTCGCGAGCTTCTGGAGCTTCCGCTCCATCTCTTGTCGTTCTTTTATTTGCTCACTTAAAGCCTCTTCCAAAAGAAGCTGCTTTGTAATTTTGGTAACTTCCTGCGATCACCTCATCCGAAATTCTAGACTTAAGAACAGACTTTGCAGTGGCATATCATTAACCTCCTCAAGGACTACTACTGATGAACACAATTAAAATAAAGTATCAGAAGCAGAATATCATTAATGAATCAATGCAAAGAAAGGTTACTCCTTCTGACTTACTCCATCTGCAGCTGCTTTCTTGCCCTTCTTGCCCTTTCGTTTTTCAGCTTCGGCAAGCAAGGTTCTCGCTTCCTCCAGTTCTTTGTCTTCGATTTCCTTCCGAATTCTGGCTTCCTCTCGCCTGGCTGACTCTTTTGCGAGTCTCTTTGCCTCAGCTTCTTCTGTCAAACGTTGCTGCTTCAGCCTCTTTGACTCCTCTTCTCTTTCCTGTCGGATAGAAATGCATTCCAAAAAGATATATTGATATTTAATGCAACCAAAAAGTACTATAGAAGCGCAGTAAATCACGCTAAATGCGAATACGAATACTTATTCCTTTTTCTGCTGTTTCAGAACAATACACACCATTTCAAGCATTTGTCGTTCTTGCTCTTCTTTGCGACGCTCAATCAAAACCTTGCGAGCTAACAACTTTTTATGCTCCTTTTCCACAACCGCTAGAAGTTCCGGGTAAGGCAAAGTCTGCTTAGATGGTCTCTCAATAGACGGTGGAAAGATCATGCTGCAGGCCTTCTTCAACCTCTTGGCAAGAACAGTAAGATGGGTTTTCACTTTCTCAGATTCCAAATCCTGCAAGATTCATTACCACATTGTCACATAAGTGAGTTGTACTGCAGAGTGTCCCATTCGTACACAGTCAAATGTACGTGGAGTCGGCATTTCGTATACAATTGACCAGGCTACGCAACGTTCACCTGACTGCCGAAGTTGACAACTTCTTTCAGATGATCAACCTTCATTTGCACAAAGTTGTACTTCACAGCTTCAACAATTAACTTCTCAACCTTTGAGAAATCAAAAAAGGTAACCATTCGAGTAAGGTCTGCAATCTTAATAGTAGAATACACTTGAGAAACCTGCAGAACAAGTACAGAAGTCAATTGTTTGAAACATTCACTTAAGTATGCTATAAATATACTGTAGAAAATTAGAATGACAAGCAAGGTTCAAGACATTTACTGTAGTCTTTCAGTTGCCCATCATGCAAGATACATGAATGGCAAAACCGAGAAATTAGAGAGAGCTCTATGCAAGACTTTACTTGCTGAAGAACTCGAAGAGCAGTAAGCCTTTCAAGAGCTGGAACATACTGTTCCAATCGCACTTCTGGGACAGGTGACGCTGACGACAATTTGTCGCTTAGATTTGGGAGTTTTGATAGGAAAGGCTCAGCTCTTGCAGCAAGATCGAGCGGATGAAATTCATTCTCTAACAATGTGTACAAATCCTTAACCTCAGGTGAAACATATGTCATCACACCTTTTGCAACCTGAAGACATGGCACCAAATATGAGAACCCATAAAAGCAACTAAGGACTGAAAATGACAGCTAGCCCTTAGAAACAATCACCAAAAGTAAGAAAAGAGAATTTCGACTCTGACTATAATCTGTTAACTCTAAAAATTAGGAAGATGGAAAATCCTGTCGAACAAGGAAAAGAAAAAATCATGAAAAAGGAATAAAGACAATTTAAAATATGTTTACAAGAGCTTATTCTTAGAGAAGTCACACATTAAATGCGAACTTACAAGTTCAGAAAGCAGAGCTGCCCTGGATAACTGCAACAAAAGTTTGAAGCCCCACCACAACAAAGGTAAGCAACAGGCCAGGTAAGATAAGAGAACAACTAACAACTCCATAAAAATTGAGAAAAGCTACAAAATGAAGAAGGAATATGAACACTGACATAAAATCTAGTCCAGACTGAAGAGCCAGAAATTCCAGAGAACCCTGCTTTGGGAAGTCCCCGTCACTCTCGACAATAGCTAGAATGACCAAGAGAAATCGAGGAGATCAAAATATTAACCTCAATGAAGTTCATTGAACCTCTTACCACTTCCCGAGAGTCCTTTTTTACATCAATGTTAAAACCCAGAATGTTGGCCATCCGAATATTTCTGTCCTTCTCCATCTCCAGTTCAAAATGGTGAGCACCATACTTGCGATCGTAGGGGGCGACAGCTAGAGTTGCCAATACTACGGACGAAGCCATGAGTTGCAAGTCCTTTGCTGTAAGATTCTTGTTGTAACTCTTCTGAAGATTATACAGCTTGTACCAGGCGTAAGCATGGTACAGGTGGCTGTCAGACACCCAATAGATTTGAGTCAATTTGGCATAGTAGACGGCCATCATTTGCGGTTTTGGTGTTCTTTTCACCATGAACATCAGTCCATGAATATCCTCTATGGAGCGGAATGCTTCCTGTACAATAACAACAGAGCAAAGTCAGATGCTCAATCCGGGTCAGTGTCATGAAATAAAACCATGATTGAGCACAAATACATCGAAAACTTGTGCGAATAGAATTTCCATCTAACAATCAATACTAGAAAAAAATAGCACAACAAAATAGAAACCTCAAAAACAAAAAGTCAAAATACTGCCTGGACAATCACAGCCAACAGATACCCCTCGCACCAGAGCAGGCAACACAATTAAGTCTCCACGAAAAAACGCACCTGCCATAGCTCTAATTCTGTGGCAACCTTGAGCTGCTCAAACCTAGTCTCTAAGTACAACTGCAGACTTTCAGGTTGAGTAAGATCAGGCCTATCACGCTGGTCCCTATACTTGTTCAGATTGATTAAGTGATTTCGTAGAATTTCACAAAGGCGTCGAAACTCCGTGGTACGCTTGTATTGTAAACAAAACTGAAAGGCCCGATGAGCTGTCATCTGAAGTGTAAAAACTCATGAGTTAAAATTAATTTTTCATAATCGTCTAAAACAAACGAGGAAAAAAATGCCTTGACTGTCACCGACGCAACACAAAAAATAAAAATAAAAACTAATGAATAACAAGTTTTTATGGAAATTCAGCTGAATTTTTATCACAATGAGATCCACCAATAATCCAACACGCCACGAGAAGAAAAAGAAATTGGAGAAGAAGAGGGAGAAACAAAAAAAAAACAAAAAAAAACTTTACTTACAGAGTACAAGGACTCCAGCTTGGAGTTGTTTCGTAAGATTTCTAGAACTGTTCTGTAGGTTTCCCATAAAAACTGGAACCAAGGAGTCACGGTTTCACGATCAGAGCGCTCTTTACCCCGCTCACCGCTGACATAACTCAACATCAAATCCTCTGGCCTCTTTTCAGCCTCCAAATCCTCTATATCCAAAGTCACCTCAGCAGCTGCTGCTTGGACTTGTGCAGCCTCGGCACGCTCACTAGAAAGTTGAAGAAAGTATTTGATAACCTCTTCTAGAGAACTGACATTGACTTGCTGACAAACTATCCGATACTGGATAAGTCCATCTTTAGCAAATCTACCCTTCTTCATATCTACACATAGCTCGACGTACTTGAACATAATCTTTTCCAGCGTTTTCTGCCATGCCCGGTACCTCTTTGACGTAATAAGGTCGTGAAGAGCTTGCAGTGCAGCCTGCTTTTGACCAACATTCATTAACTCTGCCATGAGCCAAAACTAGTCAGTCAAGTGAGGTGCGTAACATAGGTAAATTGTAAAATCTTTTCGGGACTACAAAATCTTGTTGTATACTCCATAAATCTGGAGTGGAATCTGGCAATCTATCAAGAATTGCAAATACTGATCCAACAACGAAATTCGTACACACCAAGTTTCAAAATAACCTATCATCATGCGACCTAGTAGTTGGCTGCTCCGACAGTTAGACATTGCTATACAATGCAACGCTCATCGAACTAATTCAGAATTTCTTAATGCTTTGAGATATAATTGCACAGCGAAATTAGTAATCCGACATACATGAAAGAAACTGCAAGAGCGGCCTCACCCGAGGATGAAGCGCCCCGTCAGAATCGATAATCCTCACCCACTCATGCTCACTCTTGGAATGCAACCAACACAATCACAGCGAATTGAACGAGTATATTCAATCAGCAGAAAATGGAAGGGTGGAGCACAAATCGTCACGTATGAGCTCGATTCACGGCATATACTACCCCTTGTGGCAGTACCGAATTGATCATAACCCCACAGTAGAGAGTAGAAATCAAATCATAAATCTTTAAAGAAATAATTATATATATATATATATATATATATATCATACCTTCCGCTCGTTTAAGGGCATTTTCGGGTTTGGCAAAGGTCGCCATGATGGCGAAATGTGAGACGCCACCAAAGTGATCCAACGAGAGAAGCCCGAACAACGCAGAACTCCCCAAATGGAGAGGGCGAGGGAGGAGTGAACCTGCGACACACGACCCCCAAAGACGAGAGGGGTGAGTGGAGGGGGAAAGGGAAGGAAAGAAAAGGGCAGAGAATGCACGTCAAGCAAACCCTAATGCCAGGCTCTCTCCATTGCTCCATCTCTCCCCCACTCCCTCCCTCTCTCCCCTTCTGCCCCCCTTCGCCCGGCCCTCCCGCTCCATGGATCTTCCCCCCCTCACGGTCCAGATTTCGCATCACGACATACAAACCGTTTTGCGACCTGGTGAGCTGCTCCCTCCAGCAGACCAAATTCTAGCGAATTCCCTGCTTGTGAATTGCTCTATCTCGTCTAATGATTTCAACTGCTCATTCACTCAATCCATTCTCAGCCTACCTTGGATCCTTCCGTAACATCAGTCCTACAACCTTACGCATAAGTTCTCCTTGCACGTATACTAATACTCCTAATATATGTAATTTAAAATTATTCAAATGCATAATAAGCGACATTATGCTTTGAAAACATAGTTGCACATAATTAAAAAAAGTTTTTCTTTTTTTGTTTTCTTTTTTTTTTTTTTTTTTTTTTTTTGTAGACGTGTAGACTGAAAATTAAAATATTTAAAATATATGAACATATTAAAATAGTTATTCGTGTAATCTTCAATTCTGAAAATTTCTTATGAAACAATATATAGCCATGCAAGTTTTTTTTGAATGCCATGAGAAAATCAAAATAAATAAATAAATATAGCAGCCTCTTTAATAGTATAGCATGACAAAAATAATTTCTTATTGAAATTCCATAAATATATATATATATATATATATATATATTTGGATCATTGTTTTGCTTTAGGACATAAACAAGGAATATATTATCACCGCAATATAGTTCTAAATGTTGGTAGAGAAGTATAAACAAAATACTATATAATTTTTTTTCGAAATAACATCAAAATAACTAAATTTATAATTTAAAAATAATATTTATTTTCTGATAGATTTTAAGTCTTATTTTAATTTTATTATCTATCAAAAAAACCAAATAACATAGATATTGGTTTATAATTTTGGTAATTTTTCTAGTTATTAAAATTTAATTCATTTAGTGACCTTAACTAGATTATTTTCTAAGCTAAGGTTATATTCTTTGTAAAAACTCTAATATAAATATCAAACTAAAATTTTAAGCAAAATTTACTTGAAGTTCTACATTTCTAGAATTATATTATTATTAAAAAAAATCTTCCTAAATATTATTGGAACAAAAAAATAACTAATCTTCTTTTTAATAATTATGGATTTTTTTTAATATTAAAATTATATATGAAAATATTTTAAAATATATTTTTTTCTTTTAAATAACTAAAGTCTTTGAACTTATGTTTTATGTTTTTTTTTATAAAAAAATGATTGAAATAAAAGATTGAATTTATGTTATGACTATTATACTTTTTTTAAAAGCACTTCTAAAAAACTAGATGTTTTCTTAAACAAATACTATATTTTAAAAAAACTTATTTCAAAATAATCTTGTTAAGATGAATAATCAAATCATTGTAGAAATAACAAAAAATATATTTTATATCAAATTCTTTTGTCACAATTTTTAGCCAAAACTAATATTAAATAAGATGTACATGAAAAATAAATATCTTATAAGGAATTTCAAATTGACATCTAAAAGAGTATGGAATAAATAAAATATTATGTCAATTATATAAAGAATTTTTAGTGCATTTTTATTTGATTTTATTGTAATTTTTTTTAATAAAAATTATAAAGTATGTATTATCTTTGAATATTGCAAATGTACCACAAAATATAAGCTTATATATTGGACAACAAGGAGATGTAATATCATTAACAGTTGTAATGTTGAAATTTTGGAATAAAAAAATGCTTATTAGCATTTAGAGATGTGTCCTTTTAAAAATAATGATGAATGCATAGATTTATTAATTATTTTTTTAATCTATACAAAGATTTTTTAAAAAAATACAAATTAAGGTTAATTTGCATATATGAACATAAAAACTTCTTTTCATATATAAAGACTAGCAAAGAAATTTTAAAATAAAAATTTAAGTATATATATACTAATAGAAATCCATGATATTAGCCACAAAAAATGTTTATTAAAATTACAATTAGGAACTTTCAAGCTCCATACCTAGTGATCTTGCAATGCTACTCTTGGTAATTTGCAACAATAGCATGTAGATTTTGATCTTTGATTGATCAAAAGTTAAGTTATTGTTTTACTTTTGCTTCACTTTTGATAAAAACAATGAGATACAAAGCCAATTAGATATAGTTTTTTATCTCATCTGGTTTATTCCATTGATTTATCCTCTATAAATTTTCTTATGTAAGAAATATATATATTTTTTATAGTAAAATAGTTGGATTTTATTTTTTTAATATTATGGAAAAGTTAATTTTACTTAATTATTAAAATTACAATATATTTTTATTTAAATATAGTTTATTAATAGGTAATTGTAATTACTTATTAAAATTTTAGTAGTCTTATCTACTATGCAAATCCTAACTTCTATTTATTAATTTTTTATAAATATTAACTTAAGAAGTAAAAAAATTTAAATAATATTTAATTTAAATATTATTATAATTATTATTATTTTGATATAACTTTTAAGAAATCTATTACATCACTATTAATAAAAATATTAAATATTATGTTAAATTTAATAATTTAACTAAAATACAAATATTTAAATATATTAATATTCTACTTAATTCTAATATTCATTAAATTTTAGAAAAATTATAAGTATTTAAAAAAATTATAATTGATAAAAGAAGCAATCTAATATATGTAGTAATTATTATAAATTTATACAAATTTACCAAATGAATTAGATAATAATGATTAAAAATATAAAAAAATTAAATACTTAAAAGATAGATCTAACATCAAATTATATCTTAAATTTAATAATATTGACTTATAAAGGTTTTATGATGTAAGCTAAGTTAGAGATATAAATGATATAAGATTGTTATAGACATATATAATTATTTAAATAAGAAGTATTAGATAAAAGATAAATAGAAATAGTTTTAATAATATCTTATAGAAAAAAATTATAAAAGCTTCGTAAGAGTGGATTTGACTTTAGATGTGATTATAGTTGATTAATAGGATTGAAAACTAAGTCTGTGCATGTAGAAGTCATAGATGGTCATTTATTTTCTTTTAGAGATATTATGTATGAAATTATTCTTTAAGATGTAGCAATTAATGAATATTAATATTTGAAAATATTTAATATAATTATATTTCTTTTCAATTTACTTATTTTAGAATTATTGTAGTAAATAGATTGTATTTCTTGTAACCTTGATTATTTTTGTAGTATAACTTAGAACATTATTATTTAAGAAGAAAGTTATTAATTCAATACAATAAAACTCTTATTGATAGATACAAGAATTTTCAAGCATGTTATAAAAGAATGATTTATTTTATTTTATTATTATTTTTTTTTATGTCACATCAATTTTTGATAGTAAAAAGACTTCAAGTGGTGTACCAAGTAAATACCAAGATTACCAAAATGATTTTTAGAAAAAAAATAGAGATATTATTCTAGAACACTGTTTCGATGATTGTTCAATTGATCTTTAAAAAGAAGCTCAACTGCCATTTGGACCAATCTATAGTTATTATACAACAAGTTGATTACATTCAAGAAATATATTGATAAGAACTTAGCTAAAAATTTCATATGCCACTTAAAATTTTCAATATGAACTCATATCTTATATATGAAGAATAAAGATAGATCATTACAAATATGTATGGATTATGAAGGACTAAACAAGATTAGTACCAAAAATAAGTATCTTCTATCTTTAGTATTAAGGCTTCTTAATAAATTTAACCATACAAAGATTTATATCAAAATAGATATACAAAGAGCATACTATTAAGTATGCATCAAAGAAAGAAATAAATGAAATATTATATTTTGGAATAAGTATGGACATTTGAAATATAATGTCATGTTTTTTAGACTAACAAATGTACCAGCTGCTTTTCAACATATAATGAATGATATTTTTTAAAAGTTTTTAGATGATTATATTGATTATAAACAACATAATTAAGTTTATTATGTTATTTGTAGATAATAAAATTATATTTATTATATTTTTTTGTAAACAACATAATCATATTTTTAGATGATTATATTTTTTGAAAGTTTCTAGATAATATTTTAATTTATTCTAAGAATATATAAAAGCATGAATTTCATGTTTGTTATATATTACAATAATTTAGACATACAAGATTGTACTTTAAGATAAAAAAGTATATATTTCACATAACTCGAGATAATTTCTTATGATACATCATTTGAAATGATGGCCTTATGATGGATCCTATGAAAGTTAAAACTATTATAGATTGAGAGACTTTAAAAATGATAAGAGATATATAATGTGTTTTAGAATTTTCTAATTACTATTAAATTTTTATTGAGAATATTTTTTAAAATTCAATTCCGCTTACACATTTGACTTATAAAAACAAATTTGAATAGAATAATGAAGCTAAAGTATCATTTGAAGCTTAAACAATAGCTTTTATTTTTCCACAAGTTTTATTTCAAGAAATTATTTTAAAGGTATTTTATATGGAAATAAATGCATTAGACTTTGTTTTAGATGTAATATTAATATAAATAGAAGTAGTTGAAAAATTTCAATAAGTAGCTTTTTATTTGAGAAAGTTTTTAACAATTAAGATTAACTATAAAAACTACAATAAAGAACTTTTCAAAATTTTAGATTTATTTTAAGAATATTCTTTTATTTGTAAGGCACTTTTAATTTAATCATCATATATACAATTGACAAGAATCTCAAATATTTCATGTTAGCATATATTTTAAATCATTTTTGAGTCTATTAAAATATATCTTTATCAAGATTTAAATTAGAGATCATTTATAGTCTAAATATATAATAATATTTCTTAGGTGCCTTTTTTAGGCATTCTTATCTTGGATCAAAAGAATGAGAGGTTTTTATTTTTATTTTTTTATTAACAACAAGCTTTTTTTTAAAGCCAAAAAACTTTTAGCTTCAAGCAATGAAATCAATATTGATAATTGATTTAATTTTTTTTGAGCAAGGTCAGTGAAGTATGTCCTTAGATCTTCTTATTCATAATATTAAAAATAATCTATCTTAATCTCATGATACTTCAAAGTTCTAATTCAAAAACAATCTACTCTATTTTGAAAGATTCATATATATTTCAAAAAGTGAAGCATAATTAGGTGCTCTTTAAGCTCATTGCAACTTCTAAATTATAAGATATTTTGAATATAATAAGACTTAGAGCTCACATCAAGGAATTTTTAGTGGCCTCAAATATAAAAGGCTATTAAATTTTTTGCATAATCATGTGATATTTATTCAAGATAAAAAAAAATATTATTAATTTTATAGACTTTAATAGCAATTATTTATACTTAAATAAATATAATATTTTATTTTTTTGTAGATTTTATCATAATTTTTTTATTTTCAAGTTTTTATGACTCTATATTTGTTATAATAAATAATTTCATTAAGGTATCATATTTTGTATCATATGCAAAATCTATTACATGTAATAAAATAAATAATTTTTTTTAATATTTATTTTTTTTATAGATTAATTAAGAATATTATATTATATAAAACGATTCAATTTATATTAATATTTTAAAAAATATTTTTTTAAGTTTTTGAAAATAGACATAGAATTAACTTTAGCTTTTTAACTTTGATTTCACAAACAAATAAAATGAATAAGTTAAGTTTTGAGGTTGTATTTGACATATATTATTAAATATCATCAAGATGATTGAACAACTATTTTGACATTGGTAGAGTTTGCTTGTAATAATATAGTACATTTTTCTATTTAAAAAACATCTTTCTATATAAAATATGATTATTAACTTTGACTTAATATTTTTGAATTTTCAAAAATTGATAATCCTAGAACAAAAGATTTTATAAAATATTTATAAAAGCTATATGAAATAATAAAGATATAATTAAAAGAAGCTAAAAAATAAAAAAAATATTAATTAAAATGTCTATTGAAAAGAATAATTTGAATTCTACAAAAGCAATAAATTATGATTATTTTGTTATAATATTCAGACTTATTGTACTTATGACAAATTAGAGTATTGTAGACTTCGACAATTTTTTATTTGATAACATATCAATGTAAATGCATATTAGTTATAACTACAGAAGTCTATGAAGATCCATCTTATATTTCACATGTCTTCTTTTAAGCCATACTAGATAGTGGATATACTTGGAAGAAGACAAAATACCTCATTTTCTTATAAAAGTGGACCATAATCAAGAATTTGAGGTCAAAAAAGTCTTAAAGTTAAAATGACACCAAAAAAAATTAAAATATCTTGTATATTGGGTTGGATATGTTATTACTGAATGCATATAGGAGCCATCTAAGCATCTTACAAATGCACAAAAGAATATTGATGTTTTTTAACAACAACATTGATGAAAATTAAGATAAAGAGTTAATCAATTAATTTTATAAATAAAATAAAATTTAGTAGATATTGCATTCTATTATTAATCTTTATTTATGGTTTTTGTGTATTTATAGTAATTAAAAAATAAAAATTTGATAATCAAAAGATTCAATTCAAGAATTATTGTTTTTGAATTATCAAACAACACATTGAGATTGTCACAACCTTTAAAACAATGTAATAGAGATGGTGAGATTTAAAACGATGGTATTACAACCTTGAAAGAAACTCTCAATATTTGGTGATATTATTAGAGATAGATACCACTTTTGATGTTATTTCAAGTATTTTATTGAGAAAAAGTTGTGAAGGCCTGAATAATGATGAAATATCAGGGTGGTCTTTTGGCCTTAATATGAAACATTATCAATGATTGAGAAGACCTATCAAATATCTTCAAAAGAATCAAAGATCAAAGTATGTAGCAAATACAATTTGTCACATTTTGGACTTTGTCAACATGAGATTATTGTTCTTTGTAGAACTTATTTCTTGAATGGAGGATAATGTCATAAACATATATAATTATTTAGATAAGAAATATTATATAGAAGATAATTTATGATATATTTTATAATATCTTATAGAAAAGATTTATAGAAGCTTTATAGTTGCTTATTTGGCTTTAGACGTGTTTGCAGTTGATTGATAGGTTAGAAACTTGGCCAAAAAATTGGACACTTATTACACATGTTGGTGACTTGTGAAACAAGTTGGCTATGTAGTGCATATAGAAGAAGCTTGCATTGCAAGTTAGACATATATTTCAAAAGTTAAACATGTATTGGAGGTCATATAGAACCTCACTATATGGCTCTTAATTTGATAATATATATTGAGGCAAGAGTGAAGCCTTCTTCACTCTTATCAATGCATTTCTTGTTTTTACTCTTGTTTCAAGAGTCTCTAGTCTATTTATCTTTCTCAATAGTCATTCTAACCTTAATATAATACTATCTTTGAGTGATTATTTATTCTTTTTGACATAAAATTGTATTGACACTTAAGTTTTTTTGTGATTCATGTCTTTGATAAAGTATCTATTCTTTGTTAGAATTGGAGCAATTTTATAAAAATACAAGAAATAGCATGCCAATGCTTGTCTTATGGCAACAAGCTATTGTATAATAGATGCAACTTTACTAATATAGCTCACAAGAAAGATTGGACTTAAATTTTTTTGATGTTATTTTAAGTATGTGTAACAACCAAAGATATCTTGCATTTGTTAAGAATCTAAAGTATTATTCTTATACAAAGTATGTTTTTATTTAACATTACATACATGTTATGAAATTCAAGATAAAGCAATAAGTATAATGTATTATGCAATTAAAGAAATGATTCTATTTTTTCTCATTAATGCTCTTTTTAATATATATATATATATAAGACAATAGATTTGAAAGATTTTGGCAACTTATTCAATAAAAATGTTAAATTGAACTTGTGTAATTAATTATTTTTACCTGATTACAATTTAAAGATTTTAACTAGATATAATAGTATATAACAAAAGAATGAAAGAATGATTAAAAGTAAAAAATATATGATAATTAAAGAATTTATTATAATATGATTATAACTTTAAAATCAATTTAAGATATGTAGAATTCATGCAACAATCTTAAAATAAGGATATTTTCAAGATTTAAGATTTGGAATTCCAAATTTTTACAAAATTTTAGAATTGCCTAACTTCCTTAGAACTGGTTTTCATGTTCATGTAGATTTTGCAAGCTAACTTATAGGATTGATTAGGTTATAGTGAGGTCAAATTTATATTAATAAAATTCAGCAAGATCATAGGACACTTTAAGGTCATTATATTTAGAGGTACTTGTATTGAATGCAATTAATAGTATTAAAATTAGTAGCAACTTCACCTAGATACTTTGGGAATTTGTCCAATCGACATCATAGTAGGTTTCAACTTGACAAAGCCTCATGCATTTATTAAAATCAGTGGTCGGTATACATGAAGACTTAGAACCACATGTGCCCTCACGAACCTGTTTTCATAAGAGATCCGAGACACAAGCAAAGGAGAGTATTACATGATCGATTGCAGATGACGTCAATCGAAGACAGTAACATGATGTCAACCAATAATGCTGCCCATATCCACAATACTAAAGTCCTGAGCTCTATACTTGTCACATCACTTGTCCTGACCCTCCCACATACAACGATTAATCTCCTTTGTATAGAGCAGCAAAAGGCTTCCTAAGTTCTCAACACTAAGAGTAAGACATCCGGAAATGCATCAGAGATCAGCTGCTTTGCACGATATGATTCCACATTGGTGTCATCGCAAGTTTCAATTCATTTTTTCGGAGAAGCTTCCGTGTCTCCGATAGGCTACCGAGCAACAGGAACAGTCGTCAGAGAGAATTCAATAAAATCGAAAAACAGAGATAAAACGGGTATATTTATCCTAGACATGCTCGCACTCAAGCTTAGGTTCGAATTGAAAAATGAAATCGGCTGTTCGTGCATTTTATGAATTTCGAGATAATCCAGCTGGAGTAGCAAATTTCATGAGCAAGATACATAGGAAAAAAGTATAATTCACAGCAAAGGAAAGAGTAAGACCTTATCTTGCGAATAATGCCATGAAATGCCACGAGTAATATTGAAAATGAGGTTGCCCCCAACCCAGAGAGTGGCGAGTCCTAAACCCGCTGTCACACTTCTGTGAGCAACATCTGCGAACTTTGCCATACTTGCTCACTTCCCTTCACCCTGCCTGACGTTGTGAAAATCAGCATTCAAAGTTTGACTAAACTAATTTCCACGTGGAGAAAAGAAATTTCATAGAAAAAAATGTTATGCTGTGGCTGGCAGTAGTGATCAGGGCATGAAAGAGAGCGAAAGAGAAACCAAGATATACCAAAACATTTCCTGATGTACAATAGAGCAATTAAACACTTGCCTGGTGAGAAAGTGAATTACAACCAGTAGATCGATCTAGCAAATGGCGCAGCAAGGAGAGGTGCAAACAGGGGAGCAAGCTAAAACCCTAACACGAGGAGAAAGGGTTTGTGGTTGAGCGGAATGAGAGTGACAACAACATTGATAAACAAGGCTGACCGCGATCTTAGATGAGTGCCAGCAGAAGGGTGAAGAAGTGAGTCAAGGTTGAAAACGAGGTAAAGTGGATAGGACAAGAGCAATTCATACCTGCGAGCAAAAAACTTCTGGAGGAGAAACCTGAGTAATAGTTTCCGAAACCTGGTGGAGCAGGAACAGCCGCACATGCGAGCCTCACAAACGACATTCGACTCGCTTCCGTCGACCTCGTGCATTGAGGCGTAGGATGAACAGCTTTGTTTCTGTATGTTCCGGTTGGGTAAAAAGAAAAAAAATGAAAAAAGAACGAGAAGGTGAATTATTTTAGGGTGTATATGTGAAAATCTGCAAGGCATAATGTTTCAAATGTATTGACTTCAAGACACAGGTAGATAGATATAACATAAAAAATGATAATTCAAACACAAATATAAAGTTTTTACTTTCAATCTTTTAAACCACAAAGTTTTATCAAATAGATTTAATATTCGAAAAACATAAAAATTTACTGCTTATATTTCTTGTGGTTATTAAATACCAAAAAAATTCAAAATTTATTTTTTGAATCTAGAATATACAAAATTAATATGTTCTACTATAATAATACTAATATTAACAATAATAGTAATTAAAAATATATATTAAAATAATAAAAATGTATTCTAATAGATGATTTAAAAGAAATTTAAATACATTAATAATTAAATAAATAAGAAACTTACATGGATTAGAAAAAAAAAATTATAAAACTATGTGATGATTAAAGAAATAAATGAAAATATAAATTGATTACACTTATATCATATTCTAAGACTACATATATATATATATATATATATATATATATAAGTTTAATCAAATTATAACAATATATTGCTTTGAGTCTTTATAACATTTATAATATCACTATTTTGATATGTATATTAATTTTTGTATAATGTTTTCTGAAAAAAATTATTTTATTTTTAATTATTATTATAAGATTTATTTATTATTCTTATATTTTTTTGTTAATTTATCAATAAATTAAATAAAAAATACGATACATATCTTGAAAATTTTAAATAAAAAATCTTTAAATTGAAAAATAATTTTAATACTTATACAATATTATATTTTAAAATAAACCAAAATATTGATAAATATTATATTAATAAGAATATTAAACCATTTTACCTAAAATTTAAATTGATTTTTTGTCATGGAAATGAATCACACGATAACGAGAGAATCAATGCACTTTTATATCACTAATATATATATATATATATATATATATATATATATATATATATTCACTTAAAGATAGTTACAATATTAAAACTAGAATGACTATTACAAAAGACAAGAAGACTAGAGACTTTTGCATCTATACATAATATCTAATTAAGGAGTTAAGTGACAAAATTTGATAGGTCATCTAATACATGTTCAATTTGCAACACAAGTTTCTAATATATACACTACATAGCCAACTTATACCACAAATGGCCATGTGCAACATATGGCAAATTTGTTGGCCTAGTTTTTAAGCTACTAATTATCTATTATAATAGCTACTAGATTTTTTAATAGAAAAAATTAATAATTATATTTAAAATATTTTTTAGCATTATAATATATTTTAAAAAATATGTAATACAAAAATTCAAAAATTATACATGTATCAATAATATACATAAATAAAAAAAAGGACAAACTTTATAAGATACTAAAGTATTTTTATATAGTAAAATATGGATTTTAAATAGATTATTGATATGAATTAAATATAATAGTGTAAAGTATAATATTGTTTAAATCCTATCTTAGTTAGGATCCAAATAATTTTATAGAATAGATTGCTAATGATTAAAGCATAATAAAAATAAAGATGATATTAAGATTAAAGATAGTAAAGATTTTTAAAAACTTATTATTCAAAGATAATATCTTATAATGAATATTTCAAAGATAAAATTACCTTATATACATGGAATCTTTAATTGACTATTTATGAGAGACGTCAAAGTATATTCAACTCACAATTAATTAGAGTTAAAAATAAAATCTTTTTGTGGTGTTTATACTTTTTTTTTTGCAATTTTTTTGATCTTTTTTATATCTTTAATTTTTTTTCTATTTTTTTAATGAATTATGGTTTAGCATATGATTAATAATTTTAATGACATAATAGCCTTATTATTGATGCTAATAAATTATAAAAATTTAATTTTAGATCTTGGATGTACTTAAAATTATATGATGTTAAATGAAAATGATTTTTAATTATTAATTTTTATTCCAAACATTGATCATTTATTATAAAATATAATTTATACAAATAAAATTTATACAAATAAAAAATAAAAATATAATAGTAGATCTTTTGTCATTTGTATTTCCAACTCAATTTCTGTTATTAAATCCTTGTATGTTAATGTTGATATTATCAAGATATAATATGACATTTAATATGTTATTTAAGAAATTCATAGTTTTTAAAAATTATATCCTAATAATTAAGAATAATTTCATATGTATATTAAATTATAATACTTAGTGATACTTTATATGAAATAAGTTATATTTCTTCTTCAACTTGAATAAATTTTACATCTAAAAACATTATCAATTTTATGTTTGATTTAAGTAGAATCTTAATAAGTTTATATTTCTTTATATGAGCTTACTTATATATATTTTTAATATGATTTTACTAATTTATTATAAAATTACTAATATCAATAAAAAATTAATAAAAAATATTTGATTCAATTTTTAAGTTAAAAAATAAGTAATTTTATATACTAAGATTAGAAAAAATTTAATTTTAAAAATTAAAATATCTAAGGATACTTTATAACATAATATTTTTTTTTATCAATTTAATTTTTGATATAAAATTTTTATGTCTTTAGTTTTTTTTGAAAATATTATTTTTCTTTCACCATTCAACAACTAGATTCTTTTGTATCATTTGATATCTTTTTTTATTATAATTTATTTTTATTAAATTATTTTTAGTTTACATATAATTTTTAGTATCTTAATTAATTTTATAAATAAATAAATCCATCTTATTGGCCACACTTATTTCTTAATATTCTTTTTAAAAAATATATGCTTTTCTAAAATCTTGATTTGTATAATTAAAAGATGTATATCTAAAAACATATTATAAGTCTTATTTAGATATATTTTTAAATTTTTACAAGTGATTTTATACTCTTATAAATAAATATGTTATCAATTGATAATATTCTTATTTTTCATACATATTATTGAAGGAATACAATAAAAATATATAGAGAGCATATATATTTTTTTAATTTCAATGATTAAATATTGACTACAATTAAAAGAGAGATTTTATTGTTTTACATTACTAATTCTTATCTAATTTCTACTTATTTATTTATTTTGATATAACATGACTTAAAAACAAATGTTTGAAATAATTTTTATATTTTTTAAAAATAAATTTTATTATTTTAAGGTTACAATAGAATTTTTATTGGCAATATTAAATCACAGTATATTACTAATAGTTATTGAAGTAAATAAAAATATATTTTTATTTTATGATAGTAAATAATATATATAGTAATTAAAGATTAAATATAAATAAATCTAAGTAGATAAAACAACTATTGAAAAACTACAACAGGGAATTAAAGAATAAGAATCATCAAAGTTGCATAGAAAAAAGTGTAAAAATAGTTATCTTTGACTTCAATAACTTTTTATTGATAGATATAAAATACATCTTGATGTATCTTTATCTTATGATTTTATTTATAACATGATATTATATGGCATAAGTTTGTATATATGATAATATGATTTTAAAGGACTATATCTTATCACAATAAGATTATATTTTATCTATAATAAATCTATCTACTAAACTTTATGTGATGTTAGCCTTAAATAAAACAAAGATACTCCAAGCTACTTTCTTATAATTATTTCAACACTTTTACTTAGCTTATAGTTAGAGGCTTTCAATACTAATGTTTTTGTAAACATGTAGTGCCTATCCTTCACTAAGGCTTATGTAGCTAAATAAATAAGTATAAGTATTTTTTATATCGTACAATATTTTATGTCTATTACTTCTATTTCAATATTCTTTCTAATGAAGTAATATTGAATGGTATGTTCTTGATTTTTAAATAATGTTTTGAATTTTTACAAAATCAAAGATTCTTCCATTATTATACATAATAAAAGTTATATTTATTTAGACATATACAAGAAAATTTAAAAAATTACTAAGCTAAAGATTAGTATGCTTTCATTATTTTTAAAAGATATTAAATAAGTTGCTAATAGACAAAGATTTTTTCCTTGGAATGTAGAAGGACCAACTTATAGATAAGCCATATCATAAAAAACAAAGAATCAATGTCAAAAAAATAAAAAAATCTAATAGAATATATCTAAAAAATAATAAAAGTATTAAAGAAATATCAAGGCATAATCTTTTAGAAAATAAAACGTCAAAAGATATTTAGGAATATTAAATAAGAGATATAATTATAAAATAATAAATATTATATATTACGATATAAATTAATTTTTATAAATAAAGAATAATAGAACTAAAAATCTGGTTTCATAATTTTTTTTATATAAAATCTTCTTAATACTAAAGTATAATAATTATTAAAATAAACAAGTAAAAATAAAAGTAAAAATTTATTTTGTAGAAGATATTACTTTAGATAAGTTTTTAATGATCAAAAGATTTACTATTGATATATGAAAAGAACATAGTATAGATACAGGAGAAGGTTAAGAGCCAAGAATTAAAATCAAGAAGATAAAGTATCAATAAGAAAATATCCAAAGCTATGGAAGAATAATTAGTGTTTGATATCAGATATCCTCTTGATTAGTGAGATGCCAAAGGATCTTAAGACCATAGGATATTTTTATAGTAATTTAAATGCCAAAAGATCCTAGGACCACATATGTAAAAATCAAAGAATGGAAGTTGTTTTTTAGGGCTGCAACCACTACCTATAAGTAATAGAGGTTGAAAATAAGAGATATCTTAGTCTATACTTTTTTTTATGTACAACCTTACTAATGCTATATATTGTAATTCTATTTTTTTTTCTTCAATAAATTATAAGTCCATTCACCTCTAATTATGAGTTTGGAAGTTCTTTGAAGTCTTTCTTGATGTGAGGAATAGATCTTATGATTGTTACTAATGTTAGGCTTTAAAATTTTTTAATCCTACTTAAGCAATTAATTGTTGATGTAGTTTTGTTC